TAAGTTGCGAGCGTTCAGGTTGTGGACGCAGTTTGAGACTTTGAGAGACTTTCACTTTTCTCCACACAAAACACAAGAAATTGAAAGGAATACAAAACTTTAAAAAATTTACCGGTTATTCATGTCCGGTAAGCAAAGATATGTGTTGGTCAAACCGAAAAATTAACCGGTCATTGACTGGTGATTGAGAACTATTTCGAGCCTTGGTGCAAAGACTCCGAGAACAAATTTTATTTCAAGTCATTTTATTAAACTGAAATTCGAGAAAAGGGAAGGAACCTGTAAGAGGAAAACGATACAAAGACAAGTGATGAGACAAGTAATGAAACAAGACAAGTGATGAAACAAGACAAGTGATGAGACAAGACGAGTGATGGAGTTAAGAAATTGTTGAAGGGAAATATACGGAGGGTAATGCATGCAAGTTACAGTATATGGAGGCAGTACACAAAAAACACGACCTATATATATAGATTAAGGAAGAATAGTGTACAATATTGGGAAAGGTTGAGCTGAGGTACAATTATTTGAGATGATGCTAGTCTGACACAATAATAGTTACCATAACAGCCGTATCGAGCACACAACTTCGTGGTGTTTTCGTATGAAGGTCAGCAAGATATTTTGCTATATTCTGTACCAGTCCACCCATGTTTTCTCTCACAGTATCGATTGCTCGCTCAAGACACAGGCATACAATCTGAATAGAGGTTAACAACAACTATTTACTTAGTAACTCCTGCAGTAACAGCATGGCAGTAAATTTATATAATGGAGTGCGAGTCTTGTGACCGAGTCCTGGCCGGACCAAATCTTCTTCTCAAAATAAATGTTTTTATTTTGTCAGTTTTTATTTTTCAGAATGCTAGGGATGCTGCACTTTAATTGGCTACAAAATTGGGGAGGGGGCTTTTTGGTATTTGATCAAGATCCGGAATAGGGTGGCTTAGCACTATCGGGAGGAAATGGTGGTATATATATCGGCAGTAATCAGAGGCAGAAAATAATGTTAGGCCAAAAAAAAAATAAGTGGGTTTCCGGTTTCCCGACCCTACCTAGCTTTTGGACGTCGAAATCCCGACCCTAAACTTTTTTATTGGATCATGCTTGTAAGTGTTTCCACTTAGAGGAAAAACTTTGTGGAAAATTGAAATTTGAGGCAATATTAGGGAAATTTATCTTTGGATGTGGAAGCACTGACTAAACAAAATGGCGTCCGGTTGTTCGGAAATTTTTAAAAAAAAGTTTAAAAAAAAAAGAAGTTAAAACCGAGCTACCCTACCTAAGTTTTTATAAGAAGAAACCGGAAACCCACATATTTTTTTTTTGGCCTTATTAATTAAATGTGACAGTTGGTGTGCTAACTGCTTTTCTAGTTTTCCAATAAAAGCAGAGTGTTTTATTTTCTCACTAAATCTCCTGACTCGAAACGTCGAGCAATATGTTGTCTCTTTCAGATTGAGTGGTTGTTGTGTATTAATTCAAAAACCGTGCTTCATATTTACCTGAACAATCTCTGCATCATCAATCCACTTTTCCCCGAGTTCAGCTAGAGACGAGAATACTTTTTCTAACACCAAATACACCTACAAATTCCATAAGATGTATTTCAATCTTCGTGCTAGAAATAGGATCACAAACTTACAACGTAGGATGACAAGGTGAAAAAATGAATTCCCACGGGAATTTTAGACGTTATATCCACCTAGCAAACCACAAATGTTTACGTCTTGAGTACAATCATCTATTTGAATGCGTTTTGGCCGTCATTGCGTTGCCGTCTTACATCGTAACGTCTTTTATATTGTCGTCCGCGACAGAAGTCTGTCAACCAACCAACCCAGAATCATGTACTGACAAACGAGGTATATGCAAATGCACTCTTACAGTTAAACAAAGTATAGTGAAGAAACCATATTCATACGACATGTTTGCACTTACTGGATGTTGTTTACCTCCTAAATCTTCAGGGTCTAAACACTTGAATAGTATGGTAAACAGCTGAACTTCAATGTAAACTTTCTGTTTTAAAGGCGTTGATGGCTGAAAGATATGCAAGAATAATGCTCTATGAGTAATTCCGCGCTAATGTAGACATTAATAAAAAATTATTAAGCATTTAGAAGCTAATGAATAGAATTGAAGTATGTAGTTTTATTCGCTTGCTCCTAGTTAAAAGCAGTCGACCACCATTTGCAGCTGGCATGCAACGCTTATACTGAAACCAACCAATACTAGTTTATGTTGGATGAAAAATGGACGAGAAATTTGCTTTGCCTGGACTAGCTTTTCAGTCGCAACTAGCCCCTTTTTTATGCGTGACACGTACCTGTGTGGTAGCTAATTCAGCCAGAAACAAAATATGTGGAGTAACAATTCTCTCTAAAGAGCTCATAATGTCTGTGACAGGTTGGATAGCAAGAACATGACCCAGACATTCCATGCAACGAATCTGTTCTCGATCCTAGGAAAGAAAAATACGAAGATTACATCAGAAACATTAAATAATAAAAATTACCAATTGACAGTGTTTTATATATTGCAATAACTTTCAGTTCTTGATATAAGAGGTTACTGGGAGTATTCTAGACTATAAAGTTTAGGTATGGCAGCATCTTTCATTCTTACTTCGACACCAAGGCCGGATTTTGGTGGAAATGCTGGGGCAGGTGAAAATATATTTAGGGGAGGTGCAGCGTCTCGACCACGGCCCCCATGGAATGTTAGGACTTAGAATGTAGCCCCCTGTTAATGTCAATTACATGATGTATGCATGTACTGTACATATGTATCAGTGTATTTATGAATTATGACTGTACGACTCATCCAATTGCTCCTCATTGCATTACTACAAAGTTTATTTCGAAATAGTAGAGAGCTTAAACTTCGCGTAAAAAAGTACGGCAAACAGCAAGGCCGAATTTTCTTGGCACAATTTTCGTTCGATTTCTGCGTGTCATATTTTCTTTCATATGGCACAGGAATAGTTACGCATTTTAGTTTTAAAACAACAAGCACATTTACTTTTTATTGTTTTATAGCGTAAAATTTTTCTTTGCCTGACGTTTGTCGTTTGTCGCTGAACGCGAAGCTTAAGCTCTCTATTCCATTAAAAGGGCACTTGATACAGAAATGATGAATAGTTATCAGTTTTTCAAATGTAGACTCTAAGCAACGCATAAAAATTTCACTCTGATCTATCATTTAACCTTTCCCGCATGACTTTTCAGGGGAGGTGCATAACGATCTCAGGGGAGGTGCCCACCTCCCCTCCAAATCCGGCCATGTTAGACACTACAATCCTCTTCTTATTAGAACCACTAAAGTACATATTACTATAACACTACCTTTAATGTAGAGCTGTTCAACGCAATCTAAAGAAACAAAGAAACGATGGAATATGTATATGAAAAGAACGTATAACTAAACGAAACGAAATTGAACTAAACTAAAATAAATCTCTACCGTTTACACCATGGTATTACGGTAACAAATTAACGTCCAAAAACAAAATCCCATTGAATTTCTCTAGTAAACGAAGCTCCAAACGAAGCAGAAAAACTACAAATTGCTCACAATCACCCGTAATGAATATTGCCTCGCTCAGCCAAGAGACAGTCAGTTTTCATGCTTGAGCTTTGCTGGTGCAACTGTAATTATTAATGGATGCAGTCCCAAATAAACCAACACGTCATACCTGACACTTATTGACAATTGCAATCAGACTATCGCGATCAAGGTCATGTGAACACTCCTGACATATGTCCCGTAATGCTTGTGTAGCAGCGGATGTCAGTGTGACGTCAGATATGCTGTCCAATAACACAGGAATGACAGACTTCAGCAACACTGGGTGACACTTCAACCAGTCACAATAGGAACCTAAAAACAAAGTTTTATTAGTTATTTGTAATATGTAACATTAGTTCATCAAATAGGCAATTTCAGATTTTAATTTATGCACGCAAGAGGTGATGGGAAGTTAGGAAGTAAGGTATCATATTGCTGATTATGCTGAAATATTTACAAGTATAAGCTAACACTCTGTTTACAAGTATAAGCTAACACTCCGTGTTTACACGGCCACCATTTTTATTTGCTTTTCTGAAACTTTCACCTCTGTTCATATTAAATAATTTTGTGTTTTTAATTTAAATCAAGGATCACACAAGAGGTTTTTGATAATACTTTTATTTTAGCTACGTTTCGGATAGTTTACTATCCGTCCTCAGGCTAACAAATTGTTCTTACATTTGACGTGTACAACTTTTAAACGTTCATCTTACGCAAGCTAATTTAAATTAAATTGCGTGCGCGCACGCGCGCGCTCGTTTTCCTTAATAAAGTATTTGTTTAATATTGGTCTCCAAGTCATCAATGATTCAAAACTGTTTAAAACTTTCTTTTTGTTATGCCTTACCCTAAGAGACTCAATTCCTTCTATAACTTTCCGCTGTCTTAATCTATACTCATTTCTCAATATTCGCGTGTTCTCCCAGTCTATTTCTTCCGTACACTCTATACTGTGCCTTGCTAAACCTCCGTCTTCTTTCCCCATTCGTTCTTCTGCCACCGCTATTCTTCCATTTCTCATATCCTCGTTTGTTAATCTTACTTTGCTCTCGTGTTCTTTCTTTCTCACCTTAAACAACCTCGACGTTTCTCCTACATACACCGCTTTCTTGCACTTGCATGGGATCTCGTAAACAACAGATTTTTGTTTTTCGCCAAGTGGTTGTTGAGCTCTCGCCTTCAATTCCTTTATTTTATTTCCTGGTTTAAATGTCGTCCGAAATGAATGTTTGGAAGCTAATCTTTTTAGTTGTTCCGATAAGCCCTGGATGTAAGGTACAATTATCATTCCTCGATACTCTTTCTCTTCCGACTCATTCCTTTCGCGTTTATCCTCTCGCATGTATTCTCGAACCCTCTGTCTTTCGAAACCATTTGCCACAAACACATCTTCTACGTTCTTTAGTTCTCCCTCTAGGTGTTTCTCATCAAAAATAACGCTCGCGCTCTGTCCGCAAATCCTTTGATGATGCCTTTTTTCATCATGAAAAAAGGCATCATCAAAGGATTTGCGGACAGAGCGCGAGCGTTATTTTTGATGAGAAACACCTAGAGGGAGAACTAAAGAACGTAGAAGATGTGTTTGTGGCAAATGGTTTCGAAAGACAGAGGGTTCGAGAATACATGCGAGAGGATAAACGCGAAAGGAATGAGTCGGAAGAGAAAGAGTATCGAGGAATGATAATTGTACCTTACATCCAGGGCTTAT